GTGTAGGTTGTAGCCTAAAGATATCAGATTCACCCAAAGAACCTTGTCTGCCTAATTCCAGCAGGATGCTTTCTCTGGTAAGAATAGGGATATGGCATACATTCATAAAGAACTTAAATTAACTTTTCCAAAAGGAAAAAGGGCTTAAACTGCATTTTAGTTATAAAGGCAGCCTTCCAAATGTAAACTAAAAAAAGGTGTACTGCTGCTGCTCCTAACTTTTCCAAGCAACTTGAAATCAACATTAATTAGTTTACCAGATGCTTTTTACAAGAGTGGCTTGAAATGTTCATTTCAAATAACTTTTCAAGTGACAGTTGATGCTGCTTATTGTATAAAAAAAAATTAGAGATTTTTCCCCCCCCTTATTATTTGACTAGCTGTGTGCAGTACTCAGAGAATAGCAGTGAAATAATCTAGAATCATGTAATGACATACTCTGGCAGGGAAAAGTAATGGTCAAGATTTATATGAGGGTTTGGAGAGGAGGCAAAAGAGGAATCAGGCAAGGAGGAGGAAAAAATAGAGGTTGAGGTATAGAGCTGTGTGATGACAGTAGTTAAAAGGCTCTGATAACAGGAGAAGAAACAAAGTAATTGTTTGTTTCAGAAGAGATAACGGGATAGCTGATATCTACTGCCTAGAGCAAGGGAGGGCAATTATTTTGCCTGGGGGGGCCATTTGATTTCTGGAGAGCTGTCGAGGTCGACGCACAAAATTTTTCAGAAGATATCATTTTAACAAATTAGAGATTAAAAACAAACAAATCATACTTTAAAAAAAATAAAAAAAATCAAACATCTACAATATTAAAAAAAAAAAAAATAATGTTGTCCCAATTTGAGTAGTGTATATAGAGGCAGCCCTCTGCCCCCCACATCCACATCGTATGCCCAGCCCACCCCTCACCCCACACACAATATACAAGAATAAGACTTTTTATTTTGAGTTGTTATGCTAGGTCTCAGGAGCTGACTGGGGGGGAGAAAGGGAGAGGGCAGGGGTTGCATGCAGCAGATCTTGCCCAGGCAGTGCTGTGAAGGTGTGATCCGTCCCCCCAGCCCTAATCCAGCCTGCAGCTGCTCCTGCAGCACTCCACATGGGGACAAGCCCTGACCACTCCCACCCAAGGCAATCTTAGCTATACTCTCACCGACACCTGCCGAACAGCCAGCATGAGCAGCTTCATGGCAAAGCTGTTGATGCAGCTGCCCAGATGGGCATACTCCAGTGGCTCATCCTCCTGCGCCACTCCAGGCAACATAGGTAGTGCGGGGAAGTCATGGAAATGTGTGTTGGGTAGCAGATGCCCAGCCAGGTGGGGGCAAAGCTGGTTCCTGTCTCATCATGTGGAGCTCCAGCTCCTGGCTACCTTCCACCCACTCTACCCACCTGGCAGATGAGCAGCCACATGGGGATGGCCAAGTGGGTGGAAGAAGACTGGGAGCCTGGGAATCAAGGCCCGCACAGTGAGGGAGGGAGTGGGGCTGGGGCAGATGCTGCCCAGCTGGGGCAGGGCACAGGACAGAGCTGCAAGGGGGAGGAGGGGGTGGCTCTTACTGCTGTGCACATCCCAGGAAGCCACAGCCCCTCGCTGTAGCCCCCCCGTCCTGAGCACAGCCCAGCTCAGCCCCCCACCATGAAGAGCCTGGTTCAGCCCCAACCCCAGACCACAGAGGCAGCCCGCCCTCACCTCGCATGGAGATCCAGGGGCACAAGCCCCCCTTGTACTTTCCTGGGGTGTGTGCAGCGGTGAAAACACCCCTGCCCCAGACAAGCTGCTCGCGGTTCTGTCCTGTGCCCCATCCCAGCTGTGCAGCACCCACCCCTGCCCCAGCCCCACTCCATCCCTCACCGTGGGGGGCCTCGATCTCCACCCGTCATGCCCCTTCCCTCTCCCCACTCCTTCCCCCAACAGACTTACCAGCCAACACTGCTCTCCAAGCCACCAGGCTATGCTCCTGGCCACATGCATGCTGTGGTTGCACGCATGCATGGGGCATTTAAAAATTGGCCACATCAGGCAAAAAAAGCCAACTGCCAATGATGTCAATTTTCCCTATATGGTTGCCAATCCAATATGGGAACTATCAGTGCACCTCTAGGTCTAAATGCACATAGTTTTTGAAAAAAATCAATGGTAAAATCACACAACTCAGACTTTAGTGAGTTTAGTAAGCAGACTGCCCAAGCACACTGCTTGTACACCTTGATTGTCATGGTTCCTTCTATTATCCACTTTCACATCAAACTTTGGTTTCTTAGTAAGTAAGAAAACTATGTATCAAATCAAGTAACTATGGTTTTCATAACTTTTCTTCTTATGCATACAAACTAAAATTTGCAAAAAACAAGCCTCTAAAGATGTGAACCTATATTGAAAATCCAGCCCTAGAGTCAAAACTCTCAGAAAACATCATTGTAACAGGGGGCCTACTTGGGTCAATCTCCATGGCCCGCCCACCTGTTCTTGGGCCAACCACCTGCCTTCTCGCCCGCCATGCCTTGATGTTAATTGATTAATTAATTGATGTCAATTAAGCGGGAGGCTACCCATTTGCCCCGATGCCAGGGGGCACTCTCTGCGGCTCCTTTCCTCCCCTATACCACAGCCCAAGCCTCGCAGATGGCATCTTGATGTTCACATAATCACTGGCCCCAACACTGGGCCCCAGAATCCTCCTAACAGGACCCCTCCATGATCCCTCCATTCAGGCGGCCTCTCTGCCTTCATTCAGGCTACCTAGCGCCCCCAAAACTATTTTCCCCTCAGGTGTGGTCCCCTCAGGACCTCTGGCTACCAGCCCTGGCCCACCTCCAGGCCAGTCGGGACCCCAGGCCCCCGGCTCTTGGGCATCCCTCGCGGTGGGCCCCTGGCCCTTTTGACCGTCCTGGTCCTGGCCCCAGCATGGGCCAGTCGAGGGTACTCTCTTGTTCAGGTCGGGTCTCTAGCCCCTCACTCTCTCCAGGGGTCGGTCCTCTGGGCCCTTCACACAAACACAGGGGTTACCCACCCGGTGGTGGGGGCTAGGGGTTAAGGCGCCCTGACCCGCCTTTCACCGGGGTGGTAACTGGCCTGGCATTTCCTGGGGGCTCCCACGCCACTGGGAGCCCCACCAGGCCACCCACTCCCAGCAGGATGCAGTTTTAGGTCATGCCCAGGACCAGGAGCCTCCTTACCATCCCCTACAGCTCCTCCCTTACCTCCAGATGATCTCAGAAGCCCTGCGGCCAGGCAACGTTGTTGGCCTCCAGCAACCGAACTGCCTTGTTTACAAACAGCCCCTGACTCAAAATGGCTGCCCTCATCAGGCACCTGGTGGCTGCCAGCACCCGGCCCTTAAAGTGGCAGGCACACACCGTGCCCTGTCACAATCATCAAAAAAGTTTTGTAGAATTATTAAGGAGTATGTGGGAGGAAAGAAGAGATTGCTCCTGATCAACAAAGGGAAAAACAGTTTAATTTTCAAAGGCATTTTCTTTTTCTAGGCCCTCATTGAATATACTAACTCTGCCTAGATTTAGAACAAACAAGCAAAAACAAATTAAGCCATTTAATGCTGTTATAAAATGAGCCTATGTAAGAGTAGATGTCCATCAAGTTCCTTTTTTGATGTCTATTTGATTTTAGGTTTAAACAGGCTTACATTTGATTAACCCACTTCACAAGCTTAGATGATGTACTTGGCAGACTGAGGGTATAGCTACACAGCACAACACAGTTACACGTGCAGATAAAGAGCCTAAACTTGGGTATAAGAAGCAGTGTAGCTAAATTAATATAATTGTTTGCTCAAGCTAATTAGTTTAGCAGAGAAGTGAGATATACTGTATTTACTCGAATTTAAGATGACTCCTCAATAATTAGATTCTATACATGGAAAATTTATAAATGTGTTATAATTTCCCAGGTATAGAATCTAATTACGGGAAAGTTGCCTTGAATTCATGTCTCCTCCCCAAAAGGAAAGCAGTAGCTGGAGGGGGTAAGTGGCTGGGGGGGAAGGGGTGGCAGTCAGCCCCTTTGCCCCTGGCCCCCCAACTACTTCCCCCTGCAGCCATCCTGCCGACCCTGCCACCTGCACCCTCCCACCCCAGCTCTCTACAGCCTCTGCCCCTCCCTCCCTACTCCCCCAGCCGGGAATCCAGCCTGAACTGGAACCAAGCTGAGCCTGACAGTAAAGTGGGGGAAGGGGGCAGAAGCTGCAGAAGGCAAACAGAGGGAGTGGGGGCGGGGGAGAAGGGCAGGAGAGTGCTGTGGGAATGCCTCTGGCCCCATCCGAGACTCAGGCATGCTTTGTATATGAACCTAAAATGAGGGTCATTTCCCCTCCCCCCCCCCACCATGTTGACTGGGGTGAACCTTATCTTATATCTGAGTAAATGCACTATCTACATTAATGCAGCACTTTGCGCAAACTTTGCTGCACCCTGCAACCAAAGTTAGCATGTTCAGATTAGCCCAGTTATTTCTACACGGCACTGCAATATGCTGCAGACATTCCCCCAAATGTGGTATTCACTTACAGGGTATGTGGTATGCAATGAAAAAAGACATGCACTTTGTTTTGGGGAAGGCAGAATGAAGAAATTAAGATTTTTCTGGAGTTTCAACTGATTGAGCAGGGACAGAGCCCAATCTTCAATTCACTCACTCAGTGAACCATTAAGCCAATTGATTCCCTCAGTTGCCTAAATAGAAATGCCACTACTGCTGTGAACAGGAATCAAAGTGGAGTGCTTCTATTCCAGGGGCAGGCAATTATTTTGGGCAGAGGGTTGCTTACTGAGTTTTGGCAAGCCATCAAGGGCTGCATGACAGGCAGCCCAGGGCGATTATTAATTTTCTCAATTTTTTCGGAATGGCCTGGCAGGCCGCATCTGGTCCCAGGGCCGCATTTTTCCCACCCCTGTTCTATTCCAAGCAGAAAAATCAGCTTCTCTGCTTAACACATGCATCTCAATTTTGGGGGGCTCATTTTCTGGAGGAAAAAAAAGTGTGGTATATGCAAGTAAATATGTTATGTTCCCAACAAATTTCACTGTCTTGTACCCAAAATAAAAAGCAAAGAAAGATAACCAAATACAGTAAGATTCAAAAATATCTTACAAAGCATATTATTCAAGCCAAACTTTTCTTTTAATAAAATAATATTACAAAGATATTTTACCTTTTTGCCTTATTTCCATGGCAGAAAGATCTTGAACTTGGAGTTCTGACAAAGCTTTCATTTCGACAGGCAACCCATGACAATCCCAGCCTGGTACATAATGCACCTTGTAGCCTCTCATCATATGGAACCGATTAGTAATGTCTTTCAAAATCTGGAAATGTGCAAGTTCATATGTGATTTTTAAAGCTATTCTTACCACTACCCCCAACAACATAAGCACATATTACGGAATGGCCCCTCTTGTTTTGAAAACCTCTGCTATACCAAGCAAGCTGGGCGTGTTATAAAGCTTCTACCTCCATTCTGGTCTCTTTTTGTATTTGATTTAGTTTTAAAAGAGGATACTCATTACCGTCTTTTGAAAATGAACATCCAAGTTTAGCACAACTGAAAGCTGCAATTGTAACTTTATAGTTAACACTGTACAGAGTGGAATATTGCACTTAGTATGGAGTGGAACAGATTCTACTGTTGGGTTCCATGGGAACAACAGGTCCTGGCCAGCATCTGGAGGCCACATTTTTTTTTACAAAACTGTAGGACAGATTTCATCCTCTTTTGCTCTTGGTACAATATGCAACATTGTCATCCCTAGATTCTTATCTAAATATACAAATATAATTGTGGTATTGTGTTGAACATAAATTTTGTATTAAAAATCATTATTCTTTTTTCAGTTGAATCCAGGTACCTCCATGTCAAGCTACAATAGATTGCTTTGAAGGTGTACAGACAAAATGTAGCACCCTGTGCAATATTAAGATAGAAAAGCCATGAAGGCATGCCAGGTAAAATACTACAGCAGAAATGGTGAAAGGTCCCTGGATCTACCTGCTAATTTGGCTAACGTGATGAAAGTACAGTAAAAGCTGTCTTAACTGGCATTTTACTAACCAGAATACTCTATTAACCAGAATTTCCAATATCCCCCAATACAAATCCTCACTTTGCCAAGTCTATCCAGCATGCGCATGAAGTATTTCTGTTGTTTAAATTAGTTAGTGATGATGCCAATAGAGGAGCTGCCAGGAGCCCTTCTAGTTGATATCTGCATAGGTAGAGGGAGGAAAAAAAAAATGGGGGGGGGAGGGAAGGGATCTGTGCAGGGCAGGGCGGGCTGCCGTTGTGGGCCAGGGCAGCGCCGGGCTCTTCCTAGTGGGGGTGGCCACGCTGCATTCCTAACTTCCTTGATGGGTATAACTCTCAGATAACCTGAATTTTTAGATAACTGGCACCCCCCCTTACCCCACTCATGCCAGATAAAACTTTTACTGTACATCAGTTTCTATAGTCAATGACACACAAAGGAGCCAGCACCAGAACTGGCTCCCTTTGATTCCCCACAACTGACCAGGTCCCCATTTACAGTTGGGTCAAGTGGAACTGGCCTGCATAAGTCTGGAGCAAGAGTCAAACTCTCAGCTCTGCAGTTAAAGCAAGACCCCTTAAAGCACCCTGTTACCACACATTAATTAGTGGCGTATCATGCCAGAGAACAGAAGAGACCCTTCAGAAAAAAAAGACTGCCTATGCGCTATTGTATCATACTTCTGAAGTCACTATATAACATACAGCATCTATACCCATATATGCATCTATATACATCTATATGTAATGTACTATATAGATGTACATGATATGGATGTACATTATGTCTTTCACAGCATAATAAGAGAAGCGCACGTTACACAAGAATGAGGATGAATCCACAGTTAAACAATAAGATATAGAAAGCAGCATGCATTGCTCCTTGCCATTTCTGTTTATACTGGATATGCTAATCAGCAAAACAGAAATGTATACTAGCATCCTCTTATTAAGTACTATACCCTATAAACTTTAATTGACTTCAGACAAACAGAGAATACAGCACCTTGCAGGAGATGCGTAATACTTTAAACCTACTATCATAAAATTATATTTACTTTATTCAATGCATGACCAACATGAGGGTCTCCATTGGCATATGGTGGTCCATCATGAAGACAAAATTCCTTCTTCGTTTTCCTTTGCCTTTGCCATGAATATAATTCTGAAAAGCCACATTTCTGTGAAAACAATGTGAAAAACATTTAAATCATTATATAATTGTGTCCTAGCATTTATAATTCAATTTTGATTTAAAAAATAACTCCATAAGAGAAGACTTCCTTTTCTTCTCAGGCTTGTCACTTCTCCACTACTGAACAAATACCAATAATACTGACCTACTTCTCTGACCTTAAATGGGATATTTATTTGGCCAAATTCATTCTTCTGTCACTAAAATCAAGGATACATCTGGGGTAAATATGTTCTCATCCCATGCTCATAAATAAATTAAGAGGCTGTGACATAGATGTTTACACAGTCTGGTGGGTGGCAAGTTGGCTTAGCAGTCGCACCCAGAGAGTGGTAGTAGATGGGTTGGTATTGACCTGGAAGCATGTGGGTAGTGGGGTCCCATAGGGTTCGGTCCTGGGACCTGTACTCTTCAATATCTTCATCAGTGACTTGGATGTGGGTGTGAAGTGTACTCTGTCCAAGTTTGCCGATGATACTAAATTGTGGGGTGAGGTGCACACTTCAGAGGATAGAGAACGATTGCAGGCAGACCTGGACAGGTTAGAAAAGTGGGCAGTACACAATAGGATGCAGTACAACAAGGACAAATGCAGAGTGCTGCACCTAGGGCACAAAAATATCCAGCACACCTACTGGCTAGGAAATGACCCTCTCAGCAGCACAGAAGCAGAAAGGGATCTCAGAGTCATGGCGGACTCCAAGATGAACATGAGTCGTCGGTGACTAAATCATCAGCAAAACTAACCACACTTTACCGTGCATCTGCTGATGCATGACAAATAGAACCACAGAGGTGATACTTCCCTTCTTTGTGGCACTGGCCAGACCGCAGTTGGAGTACTGCATCCAGTTTTGGCCACCATACTTCAAGAAGGATGTTGACAGACTTGAGAGACTCCAGAGGAGGACCACTCATATGGTTCAGGGCTTACAGGACAAGCCCTATGAGGAGAGACCGAGGGACCTGGACCTCTTCAGTCTCCACAAGAGAAGGCTGAGAGGTGATCTTGTGGCCACCTGCAAATACATTAGGGGAATGCAGCAAGGGATTGGAGATGCTCTGTTCACCAGGGCCTTGGGGTAACAAGGAACAATCGTCACAAACTGACAGAGAGCAGATTTAGGCTATGTATCAGGAAAAACTTCTTCATGGTAAGGGTGGCCAAAATCTGGAATAGGCTTCCAAGGGAGGTGGTGTTCTCCCCTACCTTGGGGGTCTTTGAGAAGGCTGGATATGCATCTGGCTGGGGTCATCTGACCCCAGCACTCTTTCCTGCCTATGCAGGTTCCTGCTTAGGCAGGGTGTCGGGCTCGATGATCTGTTGAGGTCCCTTCTAACCCTAGCATCTATGTATCTATGAACCTGTCAAGGTTTGCAAAATTCTTTAAAAGTTTTTGACAAATAACTCAGACTGAACTGAGACACGCTGATGTACAGACCCATGAAAGGACTTAAACTCTTAAAGTGGCATGTAGGCTGAATTTAAAATCTTCAATTCTCACCTATCTTCTTGGGTGTCTGAAAGACTGCAAATGCTTTGGAAGTTTATACATGTGCTCTGGGGAAGGAGCTTTAATTACAGTGAGTCAGAGCAGCCTTTCTGCTCCACGGCTTGTGTATAGGCACCCCTTGTTTTCACTACCAAAGTTCACCAAGTACTCTGCATTCCGCTCCTGATCAAACTCCTGATAAAAAATGTAGGCATTTTTGCTGAACTCATTTCAAGCCTACACCTGTTTGGGTTTCCTGAACTATGCCCATCTCCTCCCACATCCCCTAAGGGGCACGATTCCTGCATTCAGAGCAAAAGGTGGTGGCAGCAGTGGCACAAGCAGCTGCATTAGACACTGGATAAAAGACATACAATGATTTGGAGAATGACAAAGCAGTCTCCCCTACCAGCTCAGGGCTCCCTTTTGTAGTCCCTCTTTTTGGCCCAGTGAGTTTTGAATCCCTGGCTGCACAGTCATACAGCTTTGACAGAAGGGGGAAAGTGGCTTACTCCAGACCAGCTTTAGATTGGTGGCTAGGACTATGTTTCTCAACCTGTGGGTCACAAGCATATATGAAAGGGTCAGGAACAAACTTAGAAAATGGATTCTCCTTTAAAGGAGAAAAATGTAGGAAACCATGGGTTTTCCCTTGCAGGCTGGCAAAATTATAGCCTGAAAAGGGCTGCTGGGGCTCCCAAAGTCTCACACTTGCACTCTGGAGGCAGCAGGTCAGGAACAAAGGGCACCGGCAGGGCCAGGGGGCTGTTTTCTACTTAAACTATTTACTGGGTCGGGACTGGCCATCAGTGTTTACAGATGGGTCTCGGTACAAAAAAGGTTGAGAACCACTGGACTAGGGCACTTCCTGAGCAAGTTCTTTAACCATTGGTTACAATACGAAGTGTGGACACCACCAACCCTACCACCTCTTCTTCCTCAGTCACTACTTTGGAAGAAAACCCTGCAAGCCCAGCTACCTGCGCTAAAACACAAACAACTTAAGCACTCTAGCTCTGGGGAAATGCTCCAGGCTGGGAATCCAGGTCTGATACCTCACAGCCCACAGTCCATTGTCACTTTTCAGGGACTTGGGCGACTGAAGCCTGGCTCTTCTCTGCAGCACCTCCTCCTGCCCAGCATCTGTGACTTCCAGTTCAGCCTCCTGCCTGTACCAAGTCCCGTTCTGAAGTCCCTGATTCTCCCCTGCGCACTATGCTGGGGACTGATTTGTCCCATGCCCTGAACCTGCCAGCTCCAGGAGCCACGTGGTGCTACCAGCCTGAGGCTGTGCCCACCACCTCTGCCACAGGGCAGGGCCATCACAGCTGCTGCTTCTGGAACTGGGCTGGATGCAAGGCAAATACAAATACAATAGTTATCCTATTCATATGACAATTTCAACCCTTGTATGACATACAACAGATAATACTAAAAGCGTTCAAAACATACAATAATTTGAGGCAATTATTTGATGCAGCATATGTAAAACCAAAGTCACTCTCAGGGAGTCTTAACCGACTTTTGGGTTTGCTGTCAGTGCTTTCTTATGACTGCTTGTCTTGAAATAAAGAAATGCTTCAACTTTGATGACCCAGTTCTCTCTCACTCACTGTAGAATTACAGTGAGCAATATAAAGTAAAGAAGACGACGACTTATTTGCACACTTATTTTTTTCCCAGTGTACAATAGTTTTTCAGAAAATACAGTAATTTGAGCTTCCAATATGATAATGTCATATTTAAGACCTGGCAACGCTGGTGCAGGGGCTTGTGCCTGACACTGCCTCACCCCTGCAGTGCCAGACCTAGAGCTGGCTGGGCTGTGGGAGCAAGGGGTAGGGGAGGGCGACAGAAGGAGGTTCACCTAGGCCAGTGTTGCCAGGTGTACAATAATCATATTTGTATGATAAAATTTCAACCCTTGTACAATGTATGATCATAGAAATTAAGGGCTAGAAGAAACCTTGAAAGATCATTGAGTCCAACTCCCCTGCTCTGGGCAGGAATACTACGGAGATCAAATGATCCCAGCAAGGTCTCCTCATGAAGACTTCCAAGGTTGGGGACTGCACCACCTCCTTGGGAAGTCTAGTCCAGATTCTGGTCTGGAATAGTTAATGAAGCCTTTTGTTCATCTAGGACTTTCCCTAGAGCAACTGGGCACAGCTTCCCTACATATAATTCTGTTAGCATGCCTTGACATTTACCAAGCTGGAAGAGACTTTCATGGAGAGTAAGAAGCCGATAGAAGCCTGGAGATCATTGAGAACACAGAAGACCAAGAAGAGGGAGACTGATCAGCAGCATTCTGAACAGATACTTCACTTGTCAAAAGGAACAAAGTGCAGACACCTCCCCACTCCAATCCTGCCCCAATCTACCAGCCGCTAGTAGTCATACTGTAAGTTTCTACATGATTGTCTGCCACTAATCAGGTCAGCAGGACTTTAGAATGGAAATACTACTTTTCCTGCCTACATTAGCCAGATACACAAGAATCACTACATGAACACTCTCCAAGGATTGCAACCTTGCCGGAGAAGCTGGTGTGTTATCAACGATCTTGAAAGTGACGTTGTCCAGAGTTTTGTACTCCTATCAATATTAGTAAAAGTGTTGAAAATGCACAGCCATTTTTGAGGCAGTTAATTGATGATGCATATGCAAAACCCAAGTCAGAGAATCTTAATTGACTTTCAGAGTTTTTGGGGGGTGGTAGGATTTTGTATTCCAGGTCAAATTAGCCAAATCAGTTCCAAATCCTATCAATTGAGCAAAACCATTGACAGGCATACTACGTGCAGGTCCAAGCCCAAAGATCTTGGGGTTCGGATGCCCCCCAAGTCTCAACTTTCCCTTAGCCAATGGCCACAGGAGCAAGCTAGGGCACAATCCCCCATTTCCATAAAGTAGGCACGTAGCTGAGATCCTGCCATTGACAGGCTGTACCAGGGTGTCCTGTCCGCAGTGCACTGGACAGGGGTGCACCATCCCCTACACACTGCCATTCTAAAGTGATCTCGGATGGGCCAAGAGACCCATCTTAGCCTACAAGGGACCGAGAAGTGCCTTATGGCTTTGTTTTTTTCTTCTTCTTGTTATTAATATATTGTGTGTTCCAGGCCAAATCAATTCCAAATCATATGGCTTGAGCAGAACTCAAATCGTCCCAAAAACCCATTTCCGCCTGCTCATCAGATCTCAATAATTCTAAACACCACGTCTGGCACTGCAACCCACGAGCATTCTCCGTCCCAGGCTCTCAGCCTGGGACTTCACATACTCCCAAACCCATTTGGCAGGCATCCTACCACAGGCCCAACCCCAGAGGCCTTTGGATTGCAATGTCCCCCTTCGATCTGAGCTCAACTGCCTACTTGGTCTCAGTATTTCCCCTGCCAGATAAACGACTTTTGGGTTTGCTGTCGCACTCTCCCACACCTACTGGCCTCCAAACAAATAAACGCTTTCATGTTGATGTCCTCCCTCA